TTTTCCATTCATGAGTTTTTATAATTTTTGGGTGAATAGATTTAGCAATCTTGTTAATTGGTTTTTTCAGCGTTTATCTGAAATCACAAGAGGGAAAGGTGGAGTTGCTGGCACTCGCAGTTGTTCATCGATCTCTTTCGGCGAATCTAGAAAGTATGGTGACAGAAATATACTCTTTTATGAGCAAGATGGTTCTGGATATGAATTTCATGGTTTGGTTTTATATTATATTGAAGTGCTAAAAGTAAGGACTTTAGGTTATTTAAAAATATGTTACAGGAAAAGTTTAACAATTAGGTGGCTAGAGCGTGTCGGTTCTATCGTAATTTATGTGTCGCGTTACTTTTTGTTTCTATTTTTGAAGTAATTTTATTGCTTATTTGTTATAAGTTTAATTTAGGACATGATATTAGAAGAACTATCAAAGGGCTGGCAAAAAGAGATAAACAAAAGAGGATGTTAAAAAAGAAGTCGAGGACCTGTATTGACAAAGATGAACTTAGTTGTAAAGAAGAGAGCGAGAGCCTTAAAAATATAACTGTTAATGAAAATTTTTTGTTACGTACTGTGCCAAAGTATAACTCACAAGATACAAATGATTCTTTTAAAAACAACATCTCTGCTCACATCGATGAGAAAATCGGAGGAGAGAATTGCGCTTTTGAGAAAATTGATCCTAGTTTGTCGTTGTCCCAGTCACTTGAAACTTTAGAAAAAGCTGTAGAAATTCCGGACTTGGATGTCAGTTTAACCAAAAATGGGATGTCTCGGGATTCTACAGGCAAGGAAGTTTCATTTATAGAAGAATTGAGGGAAACTTTGACTTACTGAGTATCTAAGTATCGACAGTCCTGACTTGGTTCAGTGATTTAGACTGTGACATTCATATTGCTCTTTTGACCGAAAATTCTACAAGGAGAAGACAGTATGATTTGTTAGCTCCTCAGCAAGTAGATGACTCTGTCGATGGCAGTGATTGCGGGGATGCTTTGGAGTGCAGGTGTTTTATAATTTCAGTCTTTCAACTCGATTTCTGTTTGCTTTAGCTAAGACAGTGCAGTTGCCAAGTTTTGCCGTTGTTAATTTGCTCGAACGGTTTTTTAAATAACTTGCTTTGAAAAAATAATGCATTTTGTAGGCAACATGGGTCGTTGGATGACTTCGAATATGAGAAGCAGAATGTGACGCATGGCAGTGCTGAATCGTCAGAATTTTTAAACAGTGGTAGGGTTTTATTGAGAGTTTATTAATTTGAAGGAATTCTTTTTGTATTTACCGCTGCAACTAGAATCACTTTCTACTGTAAGGGCATTAAAGTTTTCGAATTCGGTATTTAGTAGTTATTTTCAAGAGTAGTTAATACATCGTTATAAATGAAGTAGTCGTTTCATAATTCTTGTTTTTATCGTTAGAAATTGAGTGCTTTTGATTCCGATGTTTATCATCTAGAATCTTTTGGAACGATGAAGTTTTAGGGTCGGCAGCGTCCGTTACCTTCAAAGTCACTGATAGCCAGTCTGTTATCGAGGACGGAAGTGAAGTTTGCGTTACTTCAAACGAAGCTAATGTTCGTATCTTTATTCATTTGTAATCCTTGTTTCATTTCCATTTAGCGAGCGAGGCTGTTGTACTGAAGTCTGTGTTTATTCCTTCAACAGAAAAAAAATTTTAGGGACAAAAGTGAGTTGTTCTTCAGCTGAACAAGTTTAGTAAACCTACACTGGATAATTAACTAGAAATGTCCCTCTGGAAACTGTAGACATATGACTGCGTAGCGAAGCAGGTTTACTTGCGTTTGTGTTTTAGAAAAGTACTGAACTGGAAAGCGAGAAGGGCAATGACAGAACGGCCGTGTCTATCGCAAATGACGATGAAGGTGGTGGCTTTCAGTTTGTTAATTTTGAGCTGGTGCTTTTATTTCTCTTTTATTCTTACTAGACAGTAAGAAGGCTGTTGAAAATGAGTGAAGGGTTCTGTTGCTTTCTGTTGCTAAGGTTGGTGAAGAGGTATGCTCTCGCTTTTGCATTTTTTCCAGTAGAAATTAAAGGCTTTCCGAGTACCATTCCTGACCAGAAGATGTATATTACGTTACATTTATTGTCATGTTCTTTTTTTTTTACAATTTAGTGTCAGGCAATGAATGTACTGAAGCAACAGTCAGTTCATCTGACAAGCCATCTGCCAGTCTCGCCGATTCTTACGAGCAGGACTGTTTAAGTGAGAAAATTTGGGAGTTTCATCGAAAATCTCTGCAAACTGAACTTATGCTTGCTAGAAAGTTACATCTTCGTGACGCCTTATACTATTCAATTGCTACTATTTTCCCAAGTACACAATTTTTTTCTTAAATACTTCTTCTGTCATGTTTTTTTGCTAGAAATATTGTTAGTTGGTTGAAGTTGACGTTCAGTTGTACTTTTTTCAGTCATTTTTGAAGACGGATATTCAATAAGTGATTGTAATTCATGTTTTGTTTCTTTTTTTTACTATGTTGGAAGCGCATTGACAAATTTTTACTGTTGGAATTTCTTCGTTTAGTTTTTCTGAATCAGTTAAACAGCTAGTGTTGCTGCATAGCGAGGAATTAGTAATTTTACTTCATCCCATGTTTTTACTTATTTTTCAAAGGAATCTTAAATACAAACATTTTTCAGTGTGTGGTCTATATGTAGTCGGTTCGTCTCTGAATGGCTTTGGGAGCAATTCGTCCGACATGGATTTGTGTTTAATGATTACTGATAAAGAGGTAAGCAAGTCTTACAAAAAGTTATTGGAAAGTTACTGATGAAAACTGTTCAGTTCACTTTTCAGCCGAAAATTTGGAATTGTCTATCAGAATTATTTCTGCAATATAACGCAGTGTAAAATTATCTATTTTCAGTTAGATCAAAAGGTTGAAGCTGCGACTATCTTACAAAATGTTAAAGACAGTTTAAGAACTGCTTGTTACATTCGCGAGCTCCAGCTTATTCCTGCTAAGATACCGATATTGCGAATGAAGTTTGAGGTGCCGTACGATGACATTGTGGTCGATCTTAACGCTAACAACTCTGTTTCTATACGCAATACTCATCTACTGTCTTACTACTCAGCATGTGAGTTGGAAAAACGGGGATAATGTTTTTTAAAAGACTTAGGGAGGTTTTTCAGACGATTGAGTTGCATTTTACGATCTCATTTTGTTTAGTTTGTCATTTTTTCTTGCCCTATTGCATTATAGACCATCTTTAATAGTGGTTTTTTTCCATCTTACCGTGGTTCAGACGACTGGCGCGTACGACCACTAGTTAGTGTTGTTAAAGAATGGGCGAAACGGCGAGATATTAATGACGCAAATCGGTCTTCATTCACATCTTATTCTCTCGTATTAATGGTGATCCATTACTTACAATGTTAGTTTGCGATGAAATTAAAAATACGTGCTAAAACTAATGTTTGGAGTCGTAAAAAGTTCAACGTAAAACGAATTGAAGAACAATTAGCTAAATTTTACAAGAACATTATGTGTTTCTATTTTCTTAGATATGGTCAGGTATCTCAGCAAAATGTTATTGTAAACTAGAGGAGTGCACGACATCAAAAAGTTTGTAGAGTAAAATGGTGATCAATTTAGGTGGCGCTAAACCCGCTGTACTTCCTTCTCTCCAAGTAGCTTATCCGAAACGTTTTGGAGCCGACCTTGATGTGCGGACTTTGAACTCGTCTACTCCATTAGAAGGCGTTCCAGGAATTCCGCACAACGCATCACCAATGCTTTCACTTGGAAATTTGCTCATTGGATTTTTTCACTATTATGCGTTTGAGTTCGAGTACGTTATTCTATATTATCCGTATCAGGAAAGTTACTAGGGATTCTCAGTCTTTTATGTACCTCTCAGTCTTGAGTGTTGTTGCTAATTATTATTGCCTGGTTTGCCATGTTGATGTCGGCAATAACTTTTTGTCGCAGCCACGTTGCTAGATAATTCGCGTGGAGAGCCTTTTACTACTTTCTACGGTATTCAGATTTTTTAGTCATTTTAGTGCTGGTTTTCAGCGTAAGGCAAAAGACTGTGAGTAGTGGCTTAGTTTCTATCTTTGGGTAAGGGCAAAGATTAAATTAGCGACATTTCAAATTTGAATGTCTTTTTGTGAGCTGCTATTCTCGCTTCTAAATTCCATGTTTTTTAATGATTTTGGGGTTTTAGTTATGTTAACGATGCTATCTCGGTCAGACTGGGTCGTAAGATTGAAAGACAGTTTGTGGCAAGTCGGCAAACAACTTACACTCTCAGCATGGCCCAGTGGAACTGCATTTGCATAGAGGGTAACATTTTGCCGTTCATTTTACCATGCGTTTTTTTTTCCGTTCATTTGAGTATAGGTAACAATTGTTAACATTAATTTTTTTCGTAATGTCTCATACTGGATTTCAATTCTTTTTTCAACCATTGACTACGGTTGAGAAAAGACAGCCGGGAGGTCGAAGTAGATGCGAA